ATAATGACTTCAAAAGCTAGCAATAAGTAATAACTAAATTTAGGTATTTGTGTCCGATTCTGTAGCTGAATAGTTATCCTTAATACTCGTATCGGAGGTTGCCCTTTTGAGCCTTTATGATCGGCACTTAATTAGTAAAAATCGGATCATTAGAAAAAGTTATTCAGGGCTAAAGACTAAATGGTACTTTATTTTGCTCACTGCTGACACTTTTTTGTACGTAGTGAAATTACAAACACCATTTAAGTTAATAGTACCATTCAAGACCAAACTGCAACTTGTATTGGCATCAGATACAGAGATCTAGCTAAAATTTAAGCAATATAGCTTGTTGGAAAGTAGCTAAATTTTGATTTCTTATAAAGTTTTCTCGCAGCATAAAGGAAAATGGCAAATTTTCTGGTAACAAGATACAAAATACCGAGGGAAAATTGATTTCTATTCCCTAAGGTGTTAGAATTGTGATCGGCGATAAGTTCTGTTTGGCGATAATTTTTTTTATTGTGGAACGAAACCTCTGAGACTTATATTATCAGCAAACATAGAACTCAAGTGGAACTTTGATTGCTTAGGTCAAAATTTCCACAAATGACAATTTAATTTTGGCAATGACTGTATTCAGTTTGTTACTGTCAAGAAGTAGTTGAAGCTTACTTTTTGTCAGGCACAGAGGTGCAGTTTAAAGTATAAGCCATTAGCTAGTCAAGAAATTGGTCAAAATACTCATTGACGATATATTTTAATTCACGATATGTCGTTAAAATTCAGTTTATAGCGATAAGGAAACTACTGAAACTTGCAATGTCATCCAAAACAGTTGCAATCAAATTTGTAGAATTTTAGCTAATTTTAAAGTTATTGTAGTATTTATATTGACGAAAAATTCCTCTCAATGGTAATACCGATATTGATAAGACCAAATACACGATAATAGATCGTAAGGGAACGGATATGGACCCAGAGCTACAAATTAACGAAATGGCAAAATTTGAAAGAGTTAGGGAATTTAAGTACTTGGATTCAGTTTTCGCTGAAAACAATGATATTATGCCAGAGATTGAGCAAAGACTAAATGCTGGAAATCGCATGTTTTTTTGCACTTAAGAGATTGCTAACATTGAAAGTAATAACGGGGAAAACAAAGCGTCAGGTTTACAGAACTATAATCAGACCAACCGTTATCTATGGATCAGAGACATGGACTCCAACCCAGAAAGAAGAAAAAATGCTGATTGCCTGGGAAAAAAAATTCTTAGAACTATTTTTGGACCTGTCAAAGAGGGTGATCTGTGGAGAAGGTGATGCAATTTCGAAATTTCAATACTATTTAAAGAAAAAGATATAATGAATTATGCAAAGGCAAAGAGAATTCAATGGCTAGGGCACCTTGAAAGAATGGAGGAAAACAGAGACACTGAGAAAATATTTAAGAGGTACTGCCAAAGGAAAAAAGGAAGGCCGGCCAAGAGATGGTTAGACGAGGTGGAGAAAGACCTTCAGATTCTAAAGGTCCGAAATTGGAAACAAAGAGCTAGAGACAGGCGACTTTGGAGGAAAATTATTTGTCAGACCACTGTTCAACATGAATTGTAATGCCAGAGAGTTAGTTAGTTAGGTAAATTCGTGATATATTTTAAGCGCAGCACCACAGAATAACTAAAACGCATGTTTTAATTGTAGTGCGCCCATGCTGTTATTGCCACAGCACGCACAGCGGCGACTCGTATGATGAAAATTCCAGATTGATTAATTTTTTATTAAATACAATACCATTTCGATAAAGCAAACAACTGAAAAATTAATTATCTATAATACAACATAAACATATAAGGGTAATATCGTACATCACCTGGACACAACGACATAATAACGTGAAGTGTATGACATAGTAACGTATTAGTGAAGTGAAAACTACTTTTATAAAATTTTAGTAATTATATGTACAGAGAATAACATAGCTTACGTTATCTGTAAAAGAAAATGTACCTGTAGCCAGCACATGAATGAAACTTAATTCTGTTTATTAAATATGCTCACAGGAGTAACATACCACTCCAACAGTTGTTAAATGCAGCAGTTGTTAAATGTACTACCAGTTAAAAACATTGCAATCAAGAACAAAAATATATTCGATTTCTTTTTGAAAAATTTGTAGCAAAATCATCTTTATAAAACGAAGAATCTGAATCACCGGAAAAGTTGAAAGCAAGAAACTTAAAGAGGAACTGGGAAGAAGACATTTTTCAAAACCAACAAATAAAAACTAAAGTAGATGAAAAGGTAAAAGCTGACCATCGAATTTTACAAACTTTCAAAATTTATAACCTTTTCAGAGTATTTTCATTTAAACTGAATTTTTAATTTTTATAATGACAATTTCTGCACTAATAGTCTCCACTTGATTGAGTTTCAAACACATTTTGATTCAAGAAGATTTTGCTGCAGATTGACTCTGTCGAATCCTTTACCGATTCTGACATGAAGTTTATATTCTTATTGCGAATCACTATTTGGTCAATTAAGTCCTTAGATTTGTTTTATCAAACATAATTCATTTTTTTTGTATTAAATAGCAAGACTTATCTCCAAGAGTGGAGATCGCCTTGAAGTACGAAGAAGTGTAGGGCTCTTGGAGGAGAGAACTGATCCAAAAATGCTCGACATCCATGTCAATATGTTTCTCACAGAAAACGCAGTTAGGTGAGTCAAAGTCCAACATGGAGTAGAAAGTCATGTCCAGTCGCAAATTATTCTCTGCATCCTGCACTCCTGCATTTTTCATCATACATTGTGCACCATTATCAAAAGCAGTAAGAAATTTAAAGAAACAGATTGGTTACAACTCCTGACACAAAATAAATTTTGGTAACTTCAAAATTCTTTCCTCTCCTGACAAATAAAGTTTTTTCATATGTGATAACGTTTTTCATTTTCTCATTAACTTCACTTTACTGAGTAGAGTAGTGCATTCGGGCTTTCGAAATATGTTAAGCTGTTTTACATTTCCTCAATTCATGAAGCAAAAGGAGTTTTTTTCGTAGCTTTTTTTTTCACAAAAAGCTTTGAAGGAAAACCTATAAGAAAAGACAGTTTAGCAATAAAATTCCACTTTTTCAGGTTTTGCACTATTTTTTGCTGACTTTGCATTTTATTACATTGGTTAATTATTTTTTACATTTTGATGAAACTGTTTGAACTTATACAGCAGAAATATGTACCAACAAGGGCAAAAAGAAATACACCGCGTGCTCCTTTATCATCGTTCTGAATACATAATTTTTTGATTATTGTCAAACTTGAAGAAGAAAAAAGAATACTCCCTTGCTTCGGCAAATTAATGAGGAAGTGAGGCGAAATTCTTAAGGAGGGTCCCCACCCTGAATTTCTCAAAAATTCGAAAAAAAATTTATTGCATTTTTCGAATTTTTGTACCCTTCCTAATGTCTGTCTAAAACTATTTCTCGTTACCTAACTTCGTTTGGAAGTTATACCGAAAAATAGAGAGTCGTCACTAAGAAGGTAGAAAGGCCCGTTCGGCCGGATTAGGTGGGACGACATTCTTTTTGCGTCTTATCCATTCTGTTGACGGAGAAGATATATAGACCTGGAACTGCAGAATAAAGGTAAGTCATTACTAATTTAAAAATTTACTAGATTGAACATAAGCCAAAACTTTAAACGCGTTTTTCTCAAAACGCTGTTTTTTGACCTGGCCTAACGTTTTTCTCATGATCTATACAACAAAATGAGCTGTTCTTTATTTTAAATTACGTAAAAATATATTCTTTAGAAAGTAGCATAGGACTTTTTTTGATATTTTTATATTTCGATCTTATATTAATATTTTAATGAATATTTTTAAATGAAAAACTTGCCCTTTTTTTAAAGTTTCCGCCATATTGGTAATTTTGCGAATATCAAAAAACTGTTATGCTACTTTTTAGATAATGTCTTTATGTTTCAGAAAATCTAAACAAAATCGTTTTCCAATGTTTCAGGACTTCTAAATCCATAAGGCCAGTGAGGTGCTACTTTTTGATGACCAGCCACACATGGAGCTGCCACCAACTTATTTTTTGTTATTTTGTAAAAGAAAATTTTTTAAAATGGACTTAAATTGTAACTAAATAACATAAAAAAACAAGGAGTCTTTGCATTGTCTCTATTACTTAAAAAAAATTCAGGAAAAACGTTAATATTTTACCATTTCATTGTGAGGTCCCCCCTTAAGTGAGGAAATCTTCCTTATCTTTCAAATTATTGAGGAAATGAGTGAAATCCTTAAGTGGTGAAGAAATCCCCTCATCTTTCAAATCACAGCTGAAAAAGAGGAAACGTTTGATTTCCGGAGAAAACAAAGAGTAGTTAAAGAATTAGAAAATTGCAATAATTAGAAGATTTTTAGAGGCACTTTTACATTTCCTAGCAATCAAACATATTTCTTTTTCTTTTCTTCTGTCACCTTAATTACAGAAAACTCGAAAAAATTTGATAGCGTTCTCAATGTTTTTTTTCAACTTAACTATTAATGTGTGAACCCTAATGAGCATACGTTTTCATTTAACGAGGATTCTAAATAGATTCATCTAAGGTAGTCATTACGCAACTCTCTGTAAATCGATATGTATATTTTATGGGTATTAAAATACTTTTACTTTGATCGAAATATTGTTTTTAACTAGTATCTTATGGTAAAATACTAATACCATTACTTTTTCTCTTAAAATTCAATTTACTGTCTTCTAACAATTGATTACATTTTCTATTGTTAAAAATAAAAAGTCTGTAACTAAGACTTCATTGTATAAAGAATTTCTATATAGCTTAACAATTAGAATACGATTGTTGGTACATAAAGTATAAACTATATTCATTGTTAGAAACAAGAAAAAACAATTTGGAAAAACCATTTTTGGCCATTCTAACTTGTGCTTTCATTACTGATTGTGCGTTTTAGAGTTCTATTGATTTGGGAAATTTTTCCTGCACTTTATTGAGAAATGGATGATCATTTTAATGAAAGTGATCATGATTTGGGTCAAGAAGAACCCATGCTCCCTGATTTATCCGGGCAGCAATACCAACACAAAAGAGATGCCATGAAAATTTTAGAGGCTAATCACTTCGTATGCATTGACAAGCTTGGGTCTGGCGCTTTTGGTGACGTGTATAAAATGATGGACTTCTCTGGCCAAGAAGTGGCCGTTAAAATAGTTTCCTTAGAAGTCACGAAAAAGAATGAAATTGAAATTTGGCCAAAAATGCGTCACCCAAATATTATTCCCCTCTTGCAGTATTTTAGCCTCAATGACCCAGATGTGGGAGTTTTTGTAATGCCCGTACACCTGGGCACTTTGAAGGATGCAGTCCTAAATGAGCACTTTTTAAATCAATCGTGTGCCCTAGACTGCCTCAAATCATGGCTTTACGATACTCTTTGTGGTCTGGCTTATTTGCACACTAACGAGGCTTGCCATTTGGATTTAAAATCCGACAACATCTTGATATCGCAAGATTACAGAGCTGTCATATGTGACTTCTCTTGTCTTGCATCTGCGGCAAAGGCAATACCAAGGTGAGTTTCATATTTGACAAAATGTATTGCTTAGTGTACTTTCCCTTTAAGATAAAATTTATTTTCCTATTCAGTTTTTTTATTTGCAATGTTTTCAAGTTTAACTTAGATCATTATTAGATTTATATCTCTTTGACACATATGGACGAATATTTGACACATATTTCGGAATAGGCTCCACAACGCTTAATAATTTGACAATTTTTCTTGTGATTGCTTTTAACTCATAAATCTATATTGAAAACATGTGTTATTATAAGTAAAGTGAAGCATATATATATATACGGTATATTTGAACAATTTCCAATACAGCCAGGGTTACACTGGCAACGAATGTAATAAATGCCAAGAGCTATAACCAATACTTCAATATTGAAGAATGACAAGCAGAATTTGGCAATAAAGATGATTAGAATTAGCATGCAGGAGGTAAAAAATGACAAAACCCTAAAATTTCCAACGAAATTAACCGAATTAGAATGTCAACGATGTCTCGTCGATACGAATTCCGCATCCAAGTTGCACCGATCACAATGCTGACGAAAAATATCCTCAGTGGTAGACGGATCATGGGTTAAAGTCTCCTTGCCGTCAGGCTAACTATGGGAGCTTTTCGTGGTTTTCTCTACATGTAACACAAATGCGGGTAAGTTCCATCAAAAAGTACTCCACGAAAGCAATTTTCGCCCAATACTTGATCCAGGAGTTCCCTTGTCTTCTGGATTGTGTTCAAAACTACAAGGCTATGGAGTTGGACATTAGCAGTTGGAATTCTAACATTGGGTCAGTTGCTCATTGGTGGTTATAAAATAAAATAAAAACAATCCCTAAAATATTTCATTAAGAATGAAAACATTTCTTTTTTTAATGTTAAAATGGACGTATGCTGTCATTTTATTTAATTTTTAATTTTAACACAGAATAAAACTAAATACAAAATTAACCTTTCTAGCTGACACTTCTAAACAAATTAAGTATAACTGATATAGCTATTTAAAATTGCATTGGTGTGTTGCATCCTGTCAACTTGATCCTGCAAACTTGAAGCTGAGTAAGGGTTGTTTAATTTTCAAACAAATCCAAGATGTTGCCCTCTAGGTTGATCAAGATGTCTCGCTTGCTGCTAATTTTGAAATGATTATATTTCTCCGGGTTACTTTTGATTCCCTGTGAAGGTTTTGCATAATAATTTAATTTTGTTTTTTCAGGGATGAACTTGGATTGCCGAGTGTGTATAGACCTCCAGAAGCTTGCCTGTCACTCGGGGGTGTGACGGAAGTTGATGGCAAGGCTTTTGATATGTGGTCGTTTGGAGTGATGGTCATGGAGCTGTTTACCAAGAAAGCTCTGAGCAATGCAGTAAACTGCGCTGGAAATTGGAACAGGGATATTTATCCTGCCATGTTCCACATTCTTCAGGTATGTATATAAATATATATGTAATTACATTCTTATAAAATTTTAAATTATTAATAAAACCTATAATATTTATTATGTGCATAAATATTTCCTATAATTTAGGTAGCAGAATCTATTAAGAGTACTGAAAAACTTTTCTATTATAATTTAAAATAGGCTTCAAACATATCAAATTTTCATCAATAATTAAAAAAAAAATGGAAAAAAATTCAAAATAAAAATTTTATGAAAATATTTCTTTAATATTAACTATTTTTTAAAACTTTTTTTTGTTTAAAATGTAAGATAAATTTAATTTATAATGCATATATTCGTCAGTAATGCAGTAGTTTGGTTCTATTTTTGATATCTAGTGTTATAAATATCTAATGTTGTACAGTTATTTAGTTTTTGTGTCAGAGGGTAGAGTGAGGCAGAAAAAGTGCAGGAAAGCTTTGAATTTTTCTACAAATTTCAAAATTACGCATATCTACAAAATTGTCTGAATAAATATTGTTATTTGGGCCTAAACTTCCGTGGCATCTGAAACTGCTTCTAAAGAGAATATCTTTTTCTCTCCTTTAATGTTTAGACATTGTTTTTGTTTTCTGTGATATTTCACAGTGATTCTTGTGTTTCTATCACTTTAATACACATATTCAGTAAAGTGTTTTATTTTATTTTATAACCGTCGTTGAACAGCCGACCCAATTTCATGTGTTTACGACTACTTACGTTCAACTCCGTAGCCTTGTAATTTTGAACCAATCCAGAAGACAAGGAAACTCCTGGATCAGTACCCCCAGAGGTATTGATTTGTGGAGGACTTTGAGACTCGACAGATTTAACGTGCATTAGTCACCATTTACTACACGGGGAGTCTTCGGCTGACGAGGATCGAACCCACGAACCCTTGGATATGGGCCCAGCGCTCTACCGACCAGGCTCTCCCGGCCTTCAGTAAAGTGTTTGGAAAAAATATGCATTGTTTTATAATATATAAAAAAAATTAAAAACATATTAATAGCGAAAAAAAACAACATAACTTTCACATTCGCATGGACACAATCCTGAAAAGATTCACAGTTTTAACCTTAAATATGCCAATTATTATGTGTGTAATATCTTAAAAAAAAAAAAAAAAACAAACTGAGCCTAAATTTCTCACCCTTAAAATAGTCAGAGATTTTTCCAAAATCTTTGAAACATTTTTTTAAAAACCTCTTCTTATGAATTTCTTTGATTAAATAAATAATTAATTATTTTAAACTATTTTTTGGGATGGTCCAGAGTCCAAAAAGTAATTAAAAATGGTGTTTGAACTTTCGAAGAATCATTCATGATTATAATTTTGTAACTTTATTTGTTTAGGGTGATGCTTTCAAATGCTTCATGAGTGGAGTGTTTTCTGCGACGGGCATTGCAGACGGGCAAATTTGGCTGACCTTGAATTTTATACACACATTTTTGATGCCCGATCGAAGGAAAAGGTGGAATGCCGGAATGGCAATCGACCACTGTTTTTTCAAAACTGGTGGTCAGATTGGACCAGGGGCAGATGCAAAATGGTTGCATTTTTGTGGAGATGAGAACCAAGAAACTAGCATGCACAGAAATCAGGGTGTTAAACGTGTTGCTGATGCCAGTGTTAACCCACTGCAAGTGAAAAGAGCAAATACTGAAATTGAGCAGACACGTGAAAAATTCCAACCCATAGAATGTGCAAACTGCAAGCATGCGAAAAAAGAGTTGAGGAATTGAATGAGGAGTTTGAAGTGGTAAAACGCAAAAATGCGTCATTGGAACAGGAAGTTCGAGAGCTGAAAAAGTTTTTGGAAATAGATGAGTTTGCGAGGAAGAAAAAGTCTGTTCCAAAAAAGAGAATGGTTTCTGAGTGTACACAAACTTCGAATCATTCGAAAACAATAACCATCCAGGAGCATTCGCGTGAGCACACTTCAGATGTGAATAATGCACTTCATGGAGATACATTCTTCAGTTGGGTGAGAAAAAAGTTGCTTGCTTGCAGAAACAGAGTTCTTCGATTCAATTTTAAATAATGGGAGATTAAAATGAAAATCAACTATGTAACAGAATCGAAGCAAGCATGAAAATAGTTCACAGATTTCACCCAATGTGTTCAGATTTTCAACGCAGTAGAATCAGTGTTTTAATCGAAGTGTGCACTCACGTAGAGAAGCTGCCTTAATATTTGTCTAAAGAGGGCTCTTGCAGCTAAAAAGAAAAATGTTCCAAAAACAATGTATCACGCCATAAGAGGAAAAAAGCCTAGAAAAGGTTGAAAGAGAATGCGTGAGACTTTGCTTAAAGAAAATTGGCTTTCAATATTCGCATCCTATATCCAATAGACTTAAAATTGTGCAAAAAAAAAACTTGACCAAAATAAATGAAAATGCATGGAACTTGAAAGAAAATAGATATTTGTCTTCAGCAGACGTATATTCTGTATCTTCAGTAGACGTGTTCTGTACGTGTACGCATGGCAGTCTCTGCAGAAATTTGATCAATGGAGACGATTGAGCATTTTTAAATAATTTTTATCCTCCCCATCAAAGCAAAACTAACTTAGTAGAGATTATGGTCTTTAGCAAACTATATATAGTACAAAAAAAACCCAAAGCAAAAAAAAAAAAAAATAATAATAATAAACTAAAACAGAAAAATAAATGAATAAAATAAAAAGCTAAAGTAAAAAAAAATTATTAAATAAAAAAAACTTGAAACAAAATTCTTATAATGAGAATCTAGGGGACCTCGTATCAAACAACCAACTGTCTTTGGTAGACGTTCGATATCCAACAGAATATGAATTGTGTTCACTTCTTCGGACTAAAATCCTATAGATGACAGCCTATGCATAAATCTGATGGTTTAATCCAAGGTGGCTTCATCCTCGTCATAAAGCATAAATGACCTAGCAGAGGTCGAAAGAGAATGTGTGAGACCATGCATAAAACAAACATCGGTCTTCGGAAGAAATGTTCGATATTCACTGACTGCAAATTGTGTTTTGAATTAGTGGTAGAAAATCCTATGAGCAAAAGATTGGACATTCTTAAAGGAAGTTTTGAGTGTCTCGGCAGATGATTGGCCAAACAGACATCCTTAGATAGAGACATTACAATTCGTTCCTAAACACTATTCGAAGGAAAAAAAAACTCAGTGTCTGAAATTAAGTCTAGAGTAATGTTTTATAATTTGTTACAAAACAACATATAGCAATATAAAATATTAGTTTTGCTTATAATGTGACAGAAAAATTTAAGTTGAAAATAAAAAAACAAAAACAAATTTATGTGTCCGGAGTAATATTTTGTTTAATGGAATTCCTTTTATTACAAGATTTAGATTTAAAAAGCTTTTAAGTAGGTAAATTGAAATAAACAATGTAACGATATTAAGTGTTAAAATAACTGTTTTTTTCTAATATCGATTTTTTTACAGGCTGTAGTTATTTTAATGGTTTAAAAATGTCTGCATGTCTTTAAGAAAATTTCACAAATGCTTCAGAGATTTGACAATTCTCAATAAGAGGAAAAAAATATAAAATCTTTAATAAAATCTGCAGTTTACTTTCAGGTTGAAAAAGCCTTAGTAAAAAGCGCATCACTTTTAATCATTGTATTTTATTTAAGTTTCAGTTTTGTGAAGGAGAACTATCTGCAAAAAACCAACAGCTTTTTTGAAGGTCAAGAACCTTTTCCAAAGCTGCATTTATGAATTACTAAATAAAATTATCAAACTCAGTTATATTACCAAACAGAGTTGATCTTCAAAGGAAATTTGAAAAATTTTTCAACTACCTAAACTAAACTCATTTGCGCAACAGTCCAAGGAGGATCAAGGCATATTGTACCCATCTCAAATTTCTTGATCTTGGGCTCAGGGGTCTACGAGTGTTCCGGTTGAGTTTTTAGTCAAACACGAAATCCCAAGTGTTCATTTCCCAAATATGCTTGGGGCGAATAAAACTGTGTTTTTGAGAAAGTATTGGCGAATAATTTTTTTATTGGAAAGAAAAGTATATAAATAACTCGACCCTCAAAATTGGGTCAAAATAAATTTTCTAAAAAAATCAGTATTTTTTTTAAATTCGATTACAGTAATTTTCGGTCAATGCGTCGCATAACCAATTAGAGTTGGGTCCAAATAATATGAGCCTGAAACAAATTACAGTAAAATAGTTTTCTCTGGGAAAAAGAGAAGAAGTAAAAAAAATTTAACATTTACAGTGGTTGGTAATTTATAGGTGACAGTATTGCCTTAGAGGTTCCAGTACATAAAGTTAATGTATTGCTGTGAGGAACCTAGGACATGGAATCCATCGTAATTCAAAATATACACTTAGTTTGTTACTTGAATGAGTGGAAAAAATTTTAGAAATTAAAGGTGCTATGTTTCATTGAAAAAAAAACAATTGTTAAAATTTTTTTTTACCCATCGAGAAAATGGGTGATCTTGGTTTCCGCACACTTTTTGTCTACATCAACTCACTTGACTAGATCAACTTTTATACCATAATCACAAGTAAAGATTTCTAAGGATTTTAAAAGATCAAGCTAACATAATTTTTCATAAAAAAGCAGCACAACAAGATCAAATAATTAAAAACAGACGATATTGAGATTCTGGGGTTACTTTTTTACCATAATTAGTTTTTTGAAGAGATACTTCTTATGCAACTTCCAAGAAGGTTGCGTTAAACGTTTAACGCTAAATTTTTATTGGCCGGGAAATCACGTGGTAGGATCCAGTTTTCCCTCATTCATTTCCAATATTGTTTTGGTTCTCACTAGCATAAAAATAATAAAAGTCATAAGAGTATTGTTTTTCTATAAATATTTTAATTTGAATAGATACACATATGGATGGATGGTCTAATGTAAACAATAACAAGCGTCCTTAAACCGGAAGAAATTTAGAAAATTTCCGTTGTATCCCTCCGCTTGTGTTATGACTACGAGGCGATGTGTGAACAAGCCTAATATTCTATGCAGTTTTGTTGAAGTTATACTTCTTATGCGACTTCCAACAAGGTTGCGTTAAACGTTTAACGCTGCATTTATATTGGCCGGGAAATCACGTAGTAGGATCCAGTTTTCCCTCATTCATTTCGATATTGTTTTGGATCTCACTAGCATAAAAATAATAAAAGTCATAAGAGTATTGTTTTTCTATAAATATTTTCTTAGTTTGTTTTGATACACATACAATTTAATAGGTTAGTATTTTTTATTTTCAAATTTTGGGATAACAATTGTAAAAAATGAGTGAAATACCAAAGAAATTGTATTATAGACCAATTAATGGGCCCACAATGACCCAAAATATATTTTGTTGATTAACCGAGAGGAGGTGTTTTAAGCTAAATATTCGTGAGGCTGGCATGTGAAGCGTGGCGAAGTTGGTAGTGCTTTTGGGAAGTTAGATTTGTTGTCCCGGAGACCCTGGGATCGAAACCCTGCGAGGGTAGACTTTCAATTTTTTTATATTATTTATTTTTATATATTTTTCGATATTTTAGCGTGGATTAAAAGTTTTGTATATAAAAATAACTATTTTTTCTTTGGGAGATAGAGAATAGTAGCAAATAAACGGATAAATTTCGGATAAGTTTAATTTATTTATTTATTCTATTTTGTGTTATTTTTTTTAACCTTTTTTTCAATATTTTAAAATTAATAAAGTGTTCTATGTATAAAAAAAATTAATTTTCTTTGCTAAAGAGCAAATAATGGCAGAAAAGGGGACAAAAATTGAATCAGGAGGCACGCACACATCACACCCCGTAACTCTCTATAATATTAATCTATAAACTTCAAACTGGGCACGAAATTAGAGTTTAATTTAACAAACAATTGTACTAAAGAAATTGTATTATAGACCAATTAGTGGGCCCACAATGACCCAAAATATATTTTGTTGACTAACCGGGAGGAAGTGTTTTAAGCTAAATATTCGTGAGGCTGCCATGTGAAGCGTGGCGAAGTTGGTATCGCTTTGAGGAAGTTAGATTTGTTGTCCCGGAGACCCTGGGATCGAAACCCTGCGAGGGTCGACTTTCAATTTTTTAAATTTATTTTATATTACTTCTTTTAATATATTTTTCGATATTTTAGCGTGGATTAAAAGTTTTGTATATAAAAATAACTATTTTTTCTTTGGGAGATAGAGAATAGTAGCAAATAAACGGATAAATTTCGGATAAGTTTAATTTATTTATTTATTCTATTTTGTGTTATTTTTTTAACCTTNTATTCTATTTTGTATTATTTTTTTAACTTCTTTTTCAATATTTTAAAATGAATAAAGTGTTCTATATATAAAAAGAATTATTTTTCTGTGCTAAAGAGCAAATAATGGCTGAAAAAGGGAAACAAATTAAATCAGGAGGCACACACACATCACACCCCGTAACTCTCTATAATATTAACCTATAAACTTCAAACTGGGCATGAACTTAGAGTTTAATTTAACAAACAATTGTACCAAAGAAATTTTTTTATAGACCTATTAGTGGGCCCACAATGACCCAAAATATATTTTGTTGATTAACCGGGAGGAGGTGTTTTAAGCTAAATATTCGTGAGGCTGGCATGTGAAGCGTGGCGAAGTTGGTAGTGCTTTTTGGGAAGTTAGATTTGTTGTCCCGGAGAACCTGGGATCGAAACCCTGCGAGGGTAGACTTTCAATTTTTTTAAATTTATTTTATATTATTTATTTTTATATATTTTTCGATA